GTGAAATATGTATATTCTTTTCTCAAATTTTCAGAAATATAAGTAATAATGCAAGTCAACTGAAATTACTTTGTGATTGTTGGAAAGTTCAATTTTGACCATGATTTCCCAGGATAGTTTTAAACAGGATGAGCAATGGCTTCTGTGGAATTATATAATACAAATGACACAATAATGTAAATGTCCATTTCTTGAAAATATTTATAAGGAGCCATACTTGTTCCTTATGGAAAACCTGTGGAGCAGTGTGCATTGTCATAAGACTGTGTGTAGTCTCCCCAAGTAGACTTAAGACTCCTTGAGGGCTGAGAGCCTATGACTCAGATGCTTGTTGTAGAACAAATGGAGACATCTCCCTGGAAATCACAGAGCAGTGATCAGGAATGGCAGCCCACAGTGCGGTTGTCAGCCATACCAGCTCTAAAAATAGAGGAGTCTCGGGGAGAATATGCACAGATCCAACTAAAATGTGTCACCTCAGCCATCTGGATGGTCGACCTTATCAGATCTGTCTAATCGTAGAGCTGGGTAGCTTTCCGGCTCCAGCAGCACCTGCCCTCACTCTGCTGTGTTGCTGTAGAGGAGAAAGCACGTGCCAGAAATGCTAATGAGGGGAGCCAGTGATTCTCCCAGAGCTCCGCTTTCCCTTTGGTGCCCTTCATCTCCAACCATGGAAGCCATTCAATTCACAGTTGTCACCAAGACACCAACATGTCCATTCCCAGTGGAGAAATGCAAAGTAAAATGTGTCCTGCTCCAACCCCACTCAGAGCTGCACCACAATCCCTCACCCAAAGCCTTCTGCATGCACAGTGGACCTGGCCAAACCAGTCATGTGGCTGGTACTCACAGGGTGAATCAGTTCACCTTGGGGTCACCTGTGGGGGATGTACATTAACTTCATTTGTTAGATGGATAAACAGAATGGGTCACACCAGGGCGGACCCTGAGCCCACGTGCCTCTCACTCAGGCCCCCTGCCAACGGGTGGGGTGAGGACACAAATCTTCATGTCCTCCCACCTGCGTAAATATCACTTTGCCGTGCTTGGTTGGTGTCCTTAAAAACTCACAGCAGGACGAGGTGCTTAGATTGAATGTCATGTGTAATCAGGCGCCACTGTGTGTTTTTTGACTTTTGGATGATGTGATGGGAAAGGATTTGGAAATGATGTGCTGAAAAGGGGCTTGAGGGATGTTTTTCTGACAAAGGCAGGGAATGATGAGGTCTGAGCCAGCAGTTCTCAGGGTGTGAATCTGGGAGCAGGGCAGAGGAGGGGAAGAGGCTACATGTGAGTGACCAACCCTGAGGCGAGGCAGGAGCTGGTGACAGCCGTGCTGAGCCAGGGGCCAGAAGCTACAGCAAGGCAGAGCAGCAGGACTGAAGATCTCTGGGTCACAGCCAGATAGCTGTGAGAAGGCAGCGATTGTGACTGTGGTGTTCAAGACAGCAAACATGATGGGCCACGGGAGCAGTTGGAAAAGCAGGTCCCTGTGGGAGACTTCTGGCCCTCATCAGTGGCTATTCCAGGCACGCTACCCTTCTACCTGCTGATGGGGAGCTACAGGGAACGGGGGCTACGCATAGCAGGTTTGGGCCAGAGATCAACAAAGATGGCTTCCCTACAGAATCACTGCCTCTGGCCACTGTTTCTTGGCAATGCAAGCCATGACTTTGAGAGGCTTCTCGCAGGAACACACAGTCAGCAAGGACTGGTTTAACTCCACCTGCAGGCTTGAGACTGGCTGGCTGAGCATCACTGTGCTTATTAAAAAATAGTATTTGAGTTACTGTTATGACACAAATGACAGGATGGGTAAAGCTAAAATTTCACCAGTTCTTTCTTTTGTCAGTATTAAAATTCGCATCTTTACAGTTCTCACATTACAGCAATTATTCTATAGTCAAATAGCCAGACGCCCACTAGGGAAAACTTATGCCAGGGAATAGGAAATGACTCAGGCTTCACTGTCTTTTGTATTTTATTATGCATGGAACTCCTTGGGGAGTCCAGAAAATATCTGTTTTTGTATGTTACTAATTTGATGGTACTTTCGAAGTCTAATTTAGTCAGACCTTTAAAAAACATGTATAAATCAACAGCAATTACCTAATTCTAAACTGAATCATAATCCCAAAAGAAATGTGCTATTCAGACATTATGGACTCCAGATAATCAGCAATATACCCCCACTGTCCTAAAAGGGAGAAATAAAGAGAAAAAATGGAAAGTAAAAATAATACCTCATTTATTTTCATATTTTAATTTAACTCCCGGGTAGAAAGAATGACCTGTTGTATTTTAACATTTAAAGTTGGGCCACTATTCAAAGTTTGCAAAATTACTTTTAATTTTATGAAGGTATGATTAAATTGCCAATTAGATTAGTGTGTTTATTACTAACTAGAGATGGCAAAGTCTTATTTTTTATTCATAACAAAACATTCTGCAATCGTTTGGATAATGACCTGGATTCTGCATTATTATTATGGCAAGAGGACCTTTGTGGCTTTGATGTGTTAATGAAGGACAGCCACTTGGAACATTTTGTACATCCAATATCTTCCTCTTTGTTAACTTGGCACATTTTCAATCACAATTTTCAAAAATGTGAACCATTTCATATTTTAAAAATATAAATTCATATAGCATATTATATACAGTTTTAGTGCATTCAGACTCCTAAACTATATATCATTATAGCATTTTAATTTATTTGATTTATATGTATGCCTTGAGTTAATGTCTAATCATTTGCAAGCTCAATTAAACTTTGTCTTGATGAATTTTGACTTTTAGAAAAATTACATTATATTTGTATAGCATAATACATTCTGAGTATATTGATCTCTCATTTGATATATTTGCAAGAATGTAAATACCCATCTTTTCAATTTCACTTTCATCCACTTTTCCAAAACAGATATTCTTAGTCTAGTAGATTTTGTATATTTTACAGGGCTGTTATAATAGCTTTCTAATGATATTTAAAGTGTGTCTTCATATGGCTGATGAAGACAATTATATTAAATTGTTTGTTATTTGGGGTGAATATGCAGGAAATGTTCTAAATGTCACAGAAATCTTGAAGATTTGAAAGAAATGGCACTATTGCTGGCTTAATTTATACACAAATCTCAATTTTTCACATCCACTCAAGCAGAATGAAGAAACAGTTTAATGTCATATTATCCTTAATACACATTTCCTTGACTCTGAAAACATAAGAATTTGCAAGTTGTGTTCATTCCTGAGGCGATACTGTATTTTGACCCTAATGGTGTGTATTTCTCAGTTAGAACCCCAAAGTGGAAAATGGGCATATAGTAAGGAAGGCCTCTCCCATCCATCTTCCTGTGGAGACTGGGGCGTTCTGTCTGCTTTTATGTCTAATGTTCATTGACAATCGAAGTTTTTACTTTTCTGTTCTTACTGGCATTTGCAAAGTCTTATTAGGTACCACTAGGGGGAGCCCATCTTTACCCCTAAATCAAGTTCACCCAAGTTCTTCCTGTTAAATGAATGTTTTTAGTGGTGTAGGGGAAGATACTGGTGTGATCAGGGCAAAGGAGGACGTGTTGGGAGGATGGAGAAGTAGGGTTGAGGGATGAGGGTGAGTTGTGCTGGGGCTTGGAAGCTGGGCAGAGAGGTTTCAGCTGACAGCTGAGAAAGGAGAGCCATGAGGCTTTGGGGCAGATGGTAGCAGTCAGGTTCAAGGCATTTTGTCTGGTATCAGTATGCAGGATGGATTAGAGGGGAGAAAAGCTAGAGCCAGGGAGGTACGTATTAAGGAAAAGAAGATCTCTTACTGGTAATTTCATTATGCCTAGCAATCACATCCCATGAGGTCAGTCTCCCCTACACCCAGCAGTGTCTAATCTCCTGACTGTCCACCCATTGTGCTTGCGCTGATTCAAAAATAGGGGCACTGGTGCCAGTCTAGGAGTAGAGACACGGCAAGGTTCTAGAGGGCCAACATGAGGCCTTTCATCTTCAAATCTATTTTTTGAATACAGTAGGTCTTACAAAATGTTCATTAAGTGAATAAAGGAAAATGAGGGTGAATAAAAATAGAAACAAAACATGCTAAAACATACAGGTTTTCTCAAACCACAAGTCAGATGATAATTGACAACTTTAAGTTTCTGGCCATGCATCATTTCCTCTGAGAACTGGGCAGCTGGAACACTGACTATTCCATTTCCTTTCAGAATACTGAATGAACACTTGCTACAAACAGGAGATGCATGAAGGGATCTGTGCATTTAGCACTCTCTAGTGCCCATGTGTGAGGGAAGGAGTTGTGGACCAAGGTAATCTGTGTGCTCCTCCAGCTAGCAAATGTGAGGCATATACAGGTATGTCCTCATGTGGAAGGCAATGCGCCGGTATGGGGACCTATACAGAAAATCCTTCCATAACTGTGAAAATGAGCTCTTTTCAAAGACAGAAGACAATTTTGGAAAATATCTCAATAAGATACATGATGACAAGTTTATATATCCAGAAATGCCAGTAGGTCGGAAAGCAAAGACACAGGCTGGCAGTAGTAATGTCTCAGCCCCATCCAGAGGAACAGTGGTCAGCACCGAAAATCAGGGAAAAGTGTGGAAGATCGCCAACATGCTGGGGCCATGAACCAGGAGTCCTGAAGGACTAGTCAAGCAAAGTCAAAACCAGACAACAGGATATAGAAGGGGCAATATAGCACCAGGGGAGCCATGAAGTGAAAGTTAAGGGACAAGAACCAAAAGGTCCTAAATCCAGAGGCTTATGAATGAACAGGAACCAAACTTTCCCTTGCAATTAAAGGAGTGGCCCTCTGGGCTAGTTTGGATGGCTGTTACGAAGCTCACCACTCACTATTTTTAAGCATATCATTAAATCTACATCTCTCTTTAACATGGCATGTTTCTAAGTGGAGGCAATGCTATGGAATAAAGAACAAAGCAATTGAAATCTGCTTCCTTCTGAGCAACAGGAATGGGAAAAGTACTCACGTTCCACAAAGTAAGAGCTGGCATCAATCTTCCAGATGATCTGACCCCGATGAGAACCATTGACTCCACGGTTCTTATAGTCCAGAAAGTTTTCTGACAAGACCTCATCTATATTTCCAGGAAGGAAAGGAAACAGTAGAAAATCATATCAGATAACAGCATATGCAGAAAAAAAGACAGGAGCAAAGGGTTTTAATGCCACCTCTAGCTCAAGAGAAGCAGCAGCACCTGGAATCATAGAATCAGAGAGCTAGAAGCATCCTCAGGTGCCCTCAGGATCAGCCCTTTTTAATGCAGGAATCTCTTCCCCACTCTGCAACACTCCTGGCAAGTGATCATCTAGCTGGTACCTAAACACCTCCAGAAACAGAGAAATAGTTCCTTCTCTGGCAGTTTATTTCATTTCGAATAGCTCTTACCTGTGTGAAATCCCAGCATGGAAAGCTTGCTCCTAAAGCTTCCATTAACTGTTCCCTACTTGGGTCTGAGAACGAGGCATAAAGAAAACATTCCATCACACTTTCCACTTGGGGTCCAGTTCTCTTGGACCCCACCTTATATCCTCTCTTCTTCAGCCTGGACACCCATTATCACTCACTACTTGGGATGCATCCATGCATTTATCCATCCACCCTCATGCACTGGGTGTTCATTTAATTCATTCCACAGATCTTACCAAGATCCAGCCATCTGCTGTGCTGAGAGGGGCAGTGGCCATGGTTGGGCAAAAACAATACAGTCCTTTCTGAACTACAGCTTGCAAACTATTGAGGATGCAGACTTTAAACACGAAGAAAAAAACCAAAAGTATTATTACAACTTGTGACAGAGGTTAAGGAGGAAAAGAACAGGGTGCTGTGAGGGGGAGTTACACGGAGGGAGGCCAATTGGGGTCATGCGTGCTTGAGGGATGAGAAGGAGCTGTGAGGGCGGAGACGGGGGTAGGCTGTGGGGGGCAGGGTAAGGCCCACTGTGGTGTCCAAGGACGGGGTGGGGAGAGCCTGCTGTGCGGGGTGCTGGGAGGGGCTGGTGGCGTGTGCTTTCTTCCCGTCCTGCCCTCTCTGTGCTCAGCACATTGCCTCCCATCAACGTCCTGCTTAAAGCTGGTGCCCCGGGAGGAATGCAGCTTTCCTGGAGAGGACAGATCCATGCAGGTGGAGCTGATTGCCTCTTCCCTGGTTCCAGATGACACGTTTTCAGTGTAGACCGAAACAGGGATGTGAATTTTACCTTGATGTTCTATGGGGCCCTTACAGTTTTCCTTCACCAGAAAGTAACCATCTGAACTGTGTGGATCTCAGACTGTGGGAAAAAACATGTTTGAGAGTCCAAATGCACTGCAATGGTTGGAGAACAGCCAGAACTCAGGGGTTCCTGAGGACAGGCCAGAGCCCCAGCTCTGCAGAAAGGGGCTGGGTCACCGCTGACCTTTCTGCAACTAAGATGCCTGAGGATCCCATCTTGCATCTGGCTGCCCTGGGAAAACAGGTGGGGATGAGCGGCAGAGAGGGCAGGGCTCATTGCCAAAGGACCAGCTCTCAAGGCCTTTGTGCCATTTTCCAATAGTGTCACTTCTACAGCTTCAGGCCCTCATCTGTAAAGTGGGAGTTGGTGATAATTCAGACCTCACTGGGGAGGATTAAATGAGACAACAGTAAATGTGCTGGTGGTGACCTGCTATGGTTGACTGCACAGTTTTGGCTGCCTCTCCTTTGGCAGAGGCAATTGGGCAAAGCAACACCATCTTTGCCTAATTAAAGGCAGGAGCTGTTTGTATCCTTTGGAAAATCACTTGTTTGCAAAATGTGCCTGTCTTTATATTCACAATGCGTGCTTAGAGCCCTGTTTGGGTTACTAAGGTGATTGCCTAATATGTCTTTTAGAGTAATTGCCTCATTTCTACAAAAAAAGTCATAATATTTTCCTAGCTCCCTGGGTCTTCAGTACAGACATAATAAGCCTCCCATCCAGGAAGAAATGTGCCTCGTTATGGCAGTTCTCCAAAGAGAGGCATTTACCTGAATTTATCCACTCTGATCAGCACAATATTCACTTTAATAGTCATTGCTAGGCATCCATATACAGTAAGATCCAGAAAGGGGACTTTCATTCATACATAGGTCCATGTGTACTGAATATTTACTCCATTTGAGAAATTGGGTTAAACCCTGGGGATACATGGTCTGTGTTCTAGGAAGTTCCTAATACGTTATTCAAGAAAATGGGGATTTCATTAGAATACAGTAAGTGTAAGAATGAGTTAAACATCAAGGAACCACAGGGGAGTGGATGACAAAGGGATGGGGTTGAGTGGGTGGGAAGAACCAGAAAAATCCAACGAGAATGGCAAAATAACATTTGAAGAGAACAAGATGCATTCTGCTGTACATGTTTAAATGCAACACATTTTAAGAGATTGCCAATTGATCCTGACAAGTAGCCCATTTTCTTACACTAATAATAACACTTCATAGCAAATATCACCTGAGCTTGCCTGCACGGTCTGTGCTGAGGTCAACTCCTTCCCCAAAGGCATTTTTTATTGCCGGTTATTGGGAGAGTTGGCTAGTCTTTGCTTGGGAATTCAAGCGTATTGTCAGGGTCACATGCAGAAAAACAGAATCAGTATAGATATTTTATGCAGGAAGGGATTTAATGCAGAGAATTAGGTACTGGAGAAATGGACTCTAGGCTGGGCCTCTCGGAACAACCCCAAAATAACATTCGCTCTGCTCCTGCTGCCCTCAGAGGCCACGTGGGACCTGCTGAGCGTGGGAACCTTGGGCAGTACCTGCAACCTGCAGGGCCACAGGCCACAGCAGCTGGCTCTCCACCCACGAAGGAGTCATCCGCCAGAGGCAAGCTGAGTAGGTTATGTCACCACACTGCTGCCAGCAGGTGCCCATGAAGCGAGTGAGTGGACGCTATGGCCCTGTGGTGGAAAAGCTTAATTTCTCTAAGTTATGCTTGGGCAGTCACAGGCAAAAAGCAGAGGAACCCACAGCTCACCTCACCTTCCCAATCTTACACAGGTGCATCTAAATGAAAAGAGCAAATTTGCATCTGGAATACAGTGGTACAGAAGTCTGGGACATGTAAGTTTTCGGGACCAGATTCTGCATAACAGGGAGGCACTGGAGTAGAGAAGAGGCCTCGAATGGGTGAATGGGTGGTGGGGGCCATGCCATGTCTCCATCACCCTGAGGAAGGGCATCCCCTGGGCTCTCTATCCCGAGGTTTACCTGTGCTCTTCGATGGGGCGGAAGTCTCCTGGTGGGAGCAGTGTTGGTGTGATTAGAGGGCTATCACAGCCCACTGAGGCAGAGTTTAGGTTACCACTACTAGCTATGTGATCCTAGGCATCTTAGTTAACCCCTGTGTGTCTTTGCTTCCTCGCTACAAAATGGAGGTAATATTAATATCAACCCCCAAAGTCTGTTGTGTGGATTAAATAAGCTATTACAGGTAGTGGTCTGAGAATAGTGTCGGCATCTAATGAGCAGCAATTTCTGTTTACAGTCTGGGCTAAAAATAGAGCCGTCTATAGCAAAGCTCCATTTACTTAATGTGAAAATCCATTAATAATAACCTGAAACCTTGGCATAAAATATTTCAAATTTTGTCATTGCTCATTTCATACAGAACATGTAAAAATGTATTAAGTTCCTCAAAAAAGATTATATTTGCTGGATGATACTTATTTCCTCTAGTGTATAGAATCCTACTTCTGGCTTCACAATTTATAATAGAGAAAAGATCTTCACAGGTTATTAAAAACTAATCTTTGCAGAAAGTTCTAGTGAAGCTTAAAGAAACAAGGACACTAAGAAACAAGGAGTGTATTTCTCTTACTTTGTCTTCCAAATGCAAACTGTAGCTATGCGCTCCTCACCCTAGTCTATAATAGAAGAGTACATGGCAAAAAGACTACTGCTGTTGAGAACAGAATGGGCAAGTAAGTGCAGAAACAATTAAAAAGGAGAATTAGTCCACTGCCTAAGCCCAACAGAAAAAACACAACACAGCTTCCATTTCTCAAAAGAATTCGTCCTCCTGATAACCAAATCTCAGAAGAATCTCCAAGGATTCTCCCACTATGGCTTCATTAAATAGTAGATTCAGAGATCCAGGGAGATTTGATTTGTCTTTTGTAGTCCTAAGCCAAGGATGGAAAAGCTTTGCTCACCTGTGCTAGGAGGGGAGGGTGAGGACCAAGGGCAGGGGGCCATAAAAATCAAAGCCACTCTCTCCTTTTCTGTGGCCTTGCCTTCAGATTGTTTCTTTGTTCTAACTATTCTAACTTGTTGTGCCGTAATTAGGAAATACAGCCTCAGCTCCCCTATACTCTATTAGAATGCTGGTGTAAAAGAAAACTTTTAGGTCTTCAAGAGCAAATGTCCATAGGGAAGCATTCTTGGAGTTTTTATGTGCACGTGTCTAGCTAGAGAGGCAATTTTAGCTTCCATCCTAAAACATTAAATTTTAAAGCTCTGCACATTAATTTCTCATTAAGGGAAAGGATTGGGCTTCTGTACTTATTCTTTAACTTCTCATAATTGCTGCTGTGTGGTTTCCCAAACTGGAGCTCCTGATAAATATTGGAAAATAAGATTTTTTTTCTTGCTCCAGAAGGTTTCAAAAATGCTAGGTGAAATAAAGTAAACTGGGTTGCTTACTCCAGGCTTCTGAAACTTTAATGTATATTGTGACTGGGGCAATGTAGGTGAAGTTTTCAATTCTTATTTAACCAGAGAACTCTTTCCCCATTGAGTGTAAACTGAAATTAATGTGTAGGATAGGAGTGCTACTCCTGTGGCTATAATATTCATGTCTTCACTCATCATTGCTCTTATCCTACTATTCTGTGTGAGTTCTGTTGAAAAGTGGATTGGGAGGCTGGAAGATCTGATTGAAAAATCCTCCTAGGGGAAAACAAAAATCAGAAAATATACAAGAAGGGCTATAGGATATTGAAGATAAATAGAAGAGTGTTCACATCTGGGAAACCAAAGTCCTGGAAGACCAAAGGAATATGAAAGTATGCTGGCTGAGCTACCAGTCTACTGGAAGAAGAGATGTTGATAAGGTTAAGAAATCAATGCTGGCAA